GCGGGTGTGCACCCTCTCCCGCCGCTGCCCGGCGGCCACGACCATGCTCCGCCGTCGGGAGGCAGGAACCCAGGCTCCCAGCGATCCCCGGATACCCTCTCCCGGGCCGGGCTGGTACTGAGATCAAGGCATCCAGGATCAAAAGATTACCGCCTGCCCGCCCTCTCCGCACGTCCAAGTGGCAAGCAGGAGGACCCCAATCCACCCTCCGACCCTCACCTGGTCATGGCTTCCAGCTCCGGCCTGGCGTGAGGACCCCCGACCTGCGCGAGGTGAGGGGTGGGCTGGGGGCTAGGGCGAAAGTCATGGCAGGCCAGCAGCAGCGTGAGGAGGGAGATCCAGTTTGAATCGGGGAGGGGGAAACACAGTCTGATTGTTTCTTGCCTTCTGGCACGCACCCCCAGGCTGTTCAAGGGGAGGAGGACGCCCCCAGGGGCAGTGGAGGCTACTCATAGGCCCCCAATTAGGTTGGCAGCCCCAAAGCATAGGGAGAAGGGCTTAGGGGCAGCCTGGGGACCCTGCCACCCTAGCATAGAGAACAAGGCCGGCCTTGGGCCAGCTGGAGCAGCGAACCCTGCCCTGGGGGCTTCTGGGAGATGTAGTCCCCCTCCCAGGCTCAACAACCCCCTAGGTCCCAGCACCCCAGCACTCCTTCCTTGGCTGATGGGAGTTTCCAGAAGGAGATGGGTTGGGGCTGGAGAGAGCTGGGGTCACCCTCTGCCCCCAGGCACTGCCTTTGAGCAGTAGGAGCCCAGAGACTGGGGGAGCCTTCTCTGCCAAGGATTCTGAGTGCTGTGGGCTTGGCTGGGGGTGGGGCAGTCACAGTTCCTTGGAGGTGTCCCTGTACTGCTAAGGGGAGGTGGCCCCTGCCTTGGTCCAAACAAGCCTTTGGGAAGAATGTGAGGAAGAAAAGTGAGACTTAGGCCTTTTTCCAAACGGGTAGTACTACCTCAGGGCTGCTGGAATTTGGTTTCAGGCAACAGGGAAGTCGGGTCTCCCCTTCTCCCTCTTGGGGGCTGAGAAGGGGAATGTCCCTTAAAGTCTGGGAGTCTGGAGGGTGTCTCCCTGGAGCAGTGAAGCCAGGATCAGCTTCTGTCTGTCTGTCCAGCTTCCTTCCTTCCGGGTTTTTCTGACACCCCCTCCCTCCCTCCTCCTCCTGTCTGTCTGCTGCTTGGGGTGTGTGTCTGTGTCCCTGTCTGGGGGGCCTCTGCTGCAGGAGGAAAGGTGTTCTTCTGACAGAGGTGAGCTGGACTTGTGCCTGAGTCCTGGGAAAGGGTCTCTGCAGCCCCCTTGATCTTTTTCCCTCCTTTCCTCCTAACCTTGGCACACTGATTCACCTGGGAAGGCTATCTGCATTGTATCTGCCAAAATCCCACTAATGTCTCTGAGCAGCTCTTTCAAAGATACCTGGGTCTGGGGTTGGGGTGGTGAGAGCTTCCATTCTCCTTCTTCTTTCCATCTCCTTGACTCTCCAAGGAGCAGCCACTTCCTCAGGGCAGGGATTCCTCTGCTACCCCCCAGCACAGGCTTGGCTGCCTTCTCTGGGTCAGGACCATGATTTCATGGCCCCAGGGGAAGAGCATGCTGAGTCCCAGTCTTCCTGATGTCTGTTCTAAGGCCTGGCTGATAGATGCCTTAGGACTGAGTGAGCCTGGAAGAGGAAGGTGAGGGGCAAAGTGGGAGGCAGGGATCTGGTACTAGGAAGGAAGACATTGCCTTCCCCAAGTAATCTGTCTCCTTGGCCTAGGATGACCAGACCTGAAAGCCCAGCTTTTTGGCCACTTCCTTCTAGGGGATTCTCAGTTACCCCAATTGGGATAAGGGTTCATGTTGGGAGAAGTGCTGGTGAAGGGCAGCAGACCTATAATCTTGGATCCAGAGTGACTCTTGTGCCCCAGGTAGCAGGGGCTCTATAGCTGGAAATGGGTTCTAAAGGTCCATAGGAAAGCTCAGAACAAGTCTCTAATTACTAGAGTGGAAAATCTGGGAGTGGGCAGATATGCAGGGTCCTAAAGAAGGATTGGTGGTCCAGCCACAGAAATCTGGGGTTCAGCACATCAGTGCTAATTTGGAAACCAGTGATTTTGCTTGCTGAAAGTGCATTGGGCACCCATGACTCTGCTTAGCTAGTTCCTGCCACCTGGTACCTGAGTTAGGCAGGAGCCCTAGGCCAGTGGCTCAACTTCCATGACCAGGCAGGGCAGTAGCCTTCTGGGCAGAGGCCTAGCGGGTGGCAGTGTCGACTCAGCAAGGGCTGGAATGCCTGGCACCTGCTTTAGATTAAAGGAGATGCTGTGCAAAGGGGGGGCTGCCTGCCTTTGGGGGGAGTGGCTGGGATGGAGCTCCAGGGAGCCCTGGAGGGTGGTGGGAGGAAAGTGCTAGGGGCTGCAGGCAGCAGCAGCTCTGGCAAGAGTGGAGGGAGCCAGTGCTCACCAGCTCTACAGGCTCTCTCCAGGGAGTCTAAGTGGAGAAGCTGGGACACCACCCCCCACACACCGCCTCTGGCGCCTACAGGCTGAAGTTCTGTCCCAGCGCCCTGGGGCGGCTCTGGGGAGCCATGGTGTCTGTGTCCAGTCTTCCCAGGATCAGAAGAGGCCCTCAAGGAGGTGGAGGGCACTGTGGGGTTCCTGCTGCCCAGATGCCTTGTTCACTCTCCCCGAAGCTCTTTGGTTGCTGATAGTGAGGAACCTCAAGAGCCTGGGCACCCAAGGGTGACAGGAAAATGGCATCCCTTGCTTCCTTGTACCAGAACCCTGGGCACTGCCCTGTTGCTGACTAGGGGTGGGGGATCAATAAAGGGGGATGGCACCGTGGGAAAGTGGGCAGCTGTGGGAGCGAAGCAGCTACAGGCTGGGTGCCTCGGGCAGGGAGCCTCTGCCAGCCCGCTCTCCCTGGGGTGGGGCTGGCTGTTCCAGGGACTGGCTCAACCTGTTGAGCACCTGGCTGCTCTAACTTGGCATCTGTGCCCCTGCCTGCCAGACCCAACAGCTGCCCACCCATAGCTACTCTGGAGGTTCATACCAGGGGTCTGTGGAAAGAGACTCAGATTGGCTCTAGGGACCACAAGGGCTCTTGCCATGGCTGAGTATCTCTTCATGGAGTGCTAATTTTCCTACGTCCCAACCTCTAAGCCCCACAGCTGAGGCTTCAGAGCTGGAAAGCCAGGGTCATGGGCTGAGGGGCCAGGTGAAGAAGGCCATAGCCTTGGAGCAGCTGAACTGCTGCATGTCACTTGGATGGGCGGCCCTGAAGGCAGCCTGGAGTTACAGCCTGGAATTTCCTCTGCTGGGTGCCAGGGCCAGGCCTCTACAGCCCCGCCCCCAGCCTGGCCTGACCTCCCCTCTCCCCCCTCCCTCTGTGAGCTCTGCTGACTTTCCCTAGAGGTTGGGGGAGGGGCAGTAAGGGCATCCTGGCTGCCATGGGAGGGGTAACTTCCTGGGTGTGGGGTATGCTGTGTTTCACTGCCTCAGTCTCCCCTAGGGGCCTCTTGTGGACAATAAGGAAGTCTTGGTCCCTTACCCTGTCCTGAATTTGTGGAGTTCTGGAAGACACCTAACTCTGTATGCCTGGGCTGCCCCCCACCCTCTCTGACCCCTTAGTTTTCAGCCTACACTAGGGCTCTTCTAGCAGCCAGGGAAGCAGAGCCATAGGCTATCTTGGAGTAGAGAAAGTGGTCACTGCCACTGTCAGTGGCAGGAGCCAAGGCCTCTCCTTCTTTGCCTCCTGTCCAGCAGCTCAGGCCCTCCCTGTCTGGCTCTGGGCCGGCTGTACCTCCTAACTTTGGTGTCTCTTTCTGGGCCCCCTTTCTAATGGTCTGGGACTCAGTCTTCTCCTGCCAGGGTTGGTAGCCCTGGGCGAGCCTGTCTTCCCCTCCCCCTCACTCTCCACCCCCCAGCCTCTACTGGGAATGGCCCTGAATCCAGCATTTCTAGCATTTCGAAACCAGGATTGTTTTGAAATCCCTGTGTGCTTCTCCACCCCCTCTAACTCCCCCGCCCCCAGGGGTTGTCCTCTAATCTGACTTCATGCTGTGCGTTGTGTGGTGGCTCCTTTGAGTTTGTGTGCTAGCACATGGCCTTGTACTACTTTGTGTGTATGTGGCTGTGCGTGTATCCCAGAGTAGGTGTATCTTCTGTTGGCAGTTCTGTGTGACTGGCCAGTATCCTGGATGTTTCCTGACCTCTCTTGAGCTATCTGTACATTTGGGCATCTCTGTGGGTCTTAAGGGGCTACTTGTGAAGAGTTTGGGGTATAAGGAGATACTTTGTGCCTGTTTTCTGGTTGCATGCATCTGGGGGTATCTGTGAGGAATGTGTGCTGGGGTGTGTCTGCGATGTGTGCATGTGCTTGTGCTCACACACTCACTCCTGTGCTTTGCATCTCCCCCCTCCCTGGGAACATGTCTGGGGTGTGTAGTCACAGGTCTCCTGCAGCTCCCTGGGACATGGAGTCCTCTGCCCTTTGATAGGGAGGTTTCTTGGAGAAGGGCCGAGGCTTCTGGCAATTCTGTGGTCCTTGGAGCGGGGATTCTTTGGGATAAATGGTTTTTGCCAAGAGCTGGAGTTTCTCCTTTTCCCTCTCCCTCTGCCCTTTGCTGCCAGGGGCCGGACAATACCAGTCCACCCTCTTGTCCTAAGGATACAGTGGTGGCAGTTACAGTGTAACAGTGCTCTAAAATAAAGGGCTAGGGAAAGGAGAGTGACCCCTTTACCCCTAAGAGCATTTGCTTCATTGGGGACAGGGAACAGCCAACCAGATGGAAACTGCAAGCTTGGTAGCAAATTTAAGGTTCAGAACAGTTGATTTCCCCCACTAGGGGCAAATAACAAAATAAGATAAGACACTCATATTTTCAGCCTGAGCCAAAGACAGAGGACCATGGAATCCAGGCCCAGGCATTTGGGGTGGGACCAGCTGCTATTGTATCCTTGATCCAGGGAAGTCCTTCTTGATGTTTTATCTCATTCCCTCCTACGGCAGTTAGACTGTGTTCTGCAGGAGGGGAGGTCCCAAGGGTTTTATTTTTTGTTTGTTTGTTTCTTTTTTGGTACTGAGGATCAAACCCAGGGGTGCTTTACCACTGAGCTACATCCCCATCCCATTTTATATTTTTTTTTATTTTGAGACAGGTTCTTGCCAAGTTGCTTAGGGCCTCACCTGGTTGCTGAGGTTTAGCTTTGAACTTGTGATCCTCCTGCCTCAGAGCCGCTGAAAGTATAGGCATGAGCCACCATGCCCAGCTATTTTTTGTTTCTTTTGGGCAAAGCAAGGGTGGTGATGGTGGACTTATATTTGTGTGGGATATGGGCTCTAGAAGCCCTGAAACCTTGTTCTGACTCAGTTTCCCATTCTGGAATCTCAGGCAATAACTGAATGCTTTCCTCTAGAAGTATATGTGGCAAGCCAGGGAGGAAGAAGAGGGCCAAGGCAGGGGCTGTTTGTATGGTTTGAGGACCTGTGGAGACAGCAGCAGGGGTGAACATGAGGATAGCTGTTCCTTTTAACCCCCCTCCCTGTGGCCTCTGGTCCAGGGCACAGTGGGAAGGAGGGAGGGGGAGAGGCACAGGTTGGCACAGTGTTCAGTGACCCAGCAGGGGGAGGGCCTTGGCAAGGACTTTTCAGTTTGTTTCTCAATCTGTCTCTGAGACACGCACACACACGTCACCGCAGACACCTTCAGGAGAGGAGCCCAGAAAAGTCACCCAGGTGTTGGTAGGACAGGGTGGTGCCAGATGGGGCCATGTGGAACCAGCCGTGTTCTTGTAGGCTGATACCCTGTGCCCTGCGCTACCGGTCCCCTAACACTGAAAGCTGAGCCCAGCCAGAGGACCCCTCCCAGCAGCCCTGGGAGCAACACAGGCTGGAGAGGGTTAAGTCTGGTTGGCAGGGACCCCCCACACACACACACACACCAGTGCAGTAAGAGAGAAGGAGGGGTGGTTAGCAGCTTGCTCTAGTTGGCGTCTCTCCCAGAATTCTTCGGAAAAGAACTCCCCTTTGACCCCCAGTACAAACTGAGCCCAGCCACCAGCTTCCCTCCCGCCTACTGT